CGCTGATCACACGCAGATTACAGGTCGAGTTTCCACCGATGACTGTTAGGTAATGTTTTCGTGAAAGTACTAATGTCCGATGTGAAATCCACTGACGTTAAATGGTTTATAATGTTCGTAATTTATAAATGTTCCTGAAGTTTCCCGATTAATAAGTGTCAATAATACATATAGCTTACAGAGTTTATAGCACACCAATTACAACAACCCAACAATAGACAATGTTGGGTTATTGTAATTGGTGTGCTATAAACTCCCAACAATAGACACTGTCTTCTGGCGCGTCGCATTGAACCCACCTATAGGTGTTTGGAGAGTCTCTCGAATTCTCAGATTTACGTAACAATGGAAAACTATTTTTATTCCACCGCGAGGAATCCAACCTCATATTTTAGAGTTGTAAGCCCGTAAAATTACTGCTATCCCACCGGATGATTCGCAGGTAATAATAATAATAATTAGGATAAAGCAGATTTTTATGGGTTAGTTAATAGCCTTGCTATTAGTCGTTTGTTCAGTAAATTTTTATAATAATACCAAGTTGTAATACCTGAGTCGACCGTAATAACTTTGTAATAGTGTTGCCCATGTAATATTTTGCTAAATATCCAAGTCAGTCTAAGCTGAGGAAATTCTAGTGTTAAGAAATAGTTTATCTAATAGTTACATTTAGAGGATGTTTAATAATTAAATTCTCCCTGACCCGATTTGTTAGTATTATCATCTTAATTCCTAATCTGATCATGAACGCAGTAAATGTTGGATACGGAATCACAACCATGAGCCATCTCATGGAACAGTGGTTCCCAAACTCTTTTAATCTGAGGCTCCCTTGATGTGAATAAAAAAGGTTTGAACCCCCCAACCTATAAAAATGCCATTAAGTGTTTTTGTCATAAGATATCAGCTTGTAGGCCAGGCCATTAAGTGTTTTTGTCATAAGATATCAGCTTGTAGGCCAGGCTTATTAAGTGTTACTTCCATAGAATAACAGCCTGTGGGCCAGGCTTATTAAGTGTTACTTCAATAGAATAACAGCCTGTAGGCAAGGTTATTAAGTGTTACTTCCATAGAATAACAGCTTGTGGGCCAGGCTATTAAGTGTTACTCTCTTAGAATAACAGGATGTAGGCCAGGTTATTAAGCGTTACTTCCATAGAGTAACAGCCTGTAGGCCAGGTTATTAAGCGTTACTGCCATAGAATAACAGCCTGTAGGCTGGGACATTAACTGTTCTAGTTACATCTTCGCTGATACTCGATAGTATAGGTCAGTAGTGTTTTAATTTTGTTCATGCTCTCTCTCTCTCGTTTTAGTAAATGTATTTCCGATCACCGAGGAAAGGTATTAATTGAGGGACTTTTGAAAATTTGAATAAGAAATATAGGTTTCAACTTTTATCGATATAGTATATAGTTTATGTATGATTTTATAGGACGAGGCAATTGCGATAGCAATACCCATAGACAAATCATATATATATCAAATCATATATATATATATATATAACGGTAGTGGTTAGGAGTCCAGCTTAGACGGGATTCTGTTTAGCTCACGCGCTCAATCCCACACTACCTATACAAACATAAAGCTTGGTGTAAACTACTAAGTTAATAACTCATATATATATATATACATTATAGTGAAAACTTTTTATTATACTGGCTGAGCCATACCGAGCCCCCAGTAAAGGAAAAATAAACCACAAGTGACAAACATAATTATGTTGTATTTGTATCAACACTAATATAAGCCTCATGTTACACGTGTCCAAAGTGTACAGTGATCTTATCAATAAATATATATTAAAACGTTGGTAAAAAAACAACAACAGGTGAATTAGCTTCCATAGTATCTCTACTGGAATGTTCGCTGTCTCCTGATATATTTGGTATTAAATTCATAAAGAACATTAATTTATAAATACATATCTTTGTGAACTACGTGAATTGAACATTTCACAGACAAGTAACATGAACATTCATTGATTTGAGAGATTTAATACGAATGAATGTTATAATTAATCTATTATTATTATAATACTCAGATTTATGTGTCTTTAAAATGCGCGCGCTTCTTACTATCTAATTGCGCATGCGCTTGCACTTCGTTTCAACGAATGTAAACAAAAGGCGGATATAACTTTCCTTTCGTAAATATTTTGTACAACATCTTAAAAGCTTATCAAAGTTTTAAAAAGGCCTAACGTTAGGTCGTAGAATAACATTATAAGTTTATTTATATATTGCATTAAGGATGGTAAAGTTTAGCCCTAATTAAACTAAAACAGAGAACGTACACAAGTTACAGCATTAGTGTATATCTATTGATTATAGCCCGTACTTAATAAAGGCTTAACAAATGTTAGGCCTAAGACAAGTGGACTTATAGATTTCGGTATCTACGATTAGAATTCTTTTGTATTATTATAGAAATCCTGTACTTAAAGAAGTACTATTGCAATAAAGGCATTAATTTGACCACAAATGTTTTGCGGGTCTTTGCTAGTGAAACAATGATGTCTGTTGCCTAAGTTATTATATATATTAATCACATTTCAGGGCTCTGTATTATAGCGTATTTCTTGAAATACAGAGACATTGTGAGCTTATTTTCGTGTCTATTAGGTACATGTTCTCTTACGTTTACTTATTATTAACATCAGCATGAGCTGAACCTGTCAGCTGAGTGTTTTCTCGTCCCATTAGCTCTTATTTAACCCTTTTTTTCTTTAAGGCGAGATAACAATTCTTATTGATTCTATAATAACAATAAATAGATGTTGTCGATTAAAGGGTTATGAACAAGTATGGTATAACAGTAAAAGTTTTGGGCCAGTTTAATGACTAATCACTATGCGAGAAAATATAAACCGCTGTAAAAAAAAACAAAAAAACTCACGTTACATGAGGTAAAATAAAATCCTTTAGTTAGGCTTATCACAATGTTCTAATGCCTTAAAATATCGATGTTATACAGTTTTACAGATCAAGGGCAATAGCAGTTGATTGTTTTGTTGAACGAAACCCTTATGCAGACGGATCAATCGGCTAGTCAAACATTACATTTGAGTTAGTACACAATCTGTAAATATCTGCACTGACGTACTGCTGGCAACTTCGTTACACGAAACAGTCTTGAACTAACTTAGTTTTTTTTCAAACGTTCTTAATTCGTATAGACGTATAGCCGCTAGACATACGTTAACAGGTGGGGCAAACCTATTTTTATATTTGATAACTACTAACATAGTGCACTCCGATGTTACTTTTCTATAACTCTTTAGAATAGCCTCAGTGTAATATTTTTAAGTTTTTATATTCGGGTCAGGCGTGGTCTAGTGGTTAGGAACTGGAATGTGAACCCGAGGGTCCGTGGTTCGCTTACCTATGCCTCAAAATCGCGCTCTGCAGTTTGGGGTCGTGGATGCGTTGTAAGAGCGACAGTCAAATCTCCTATTCGATTCGAACAGCCAAAGGATTGATGTTTTTGACAAGCAGCCTTCCTTCTATTTTATCAGTTTAAAATTAGGGACGGCTAACCCTTGTGTAATTTGAGCGAATATCTGAAACAAACAGCTAATCAACCTGGTATACTCGTTGATTATATTAGGTACTCATAATGCTTCGGAAAATAATTCATTAATTACCTTAACCACCTATT